AAGCTTGACCAGTGGTTATCAGGGGTGAAGAAAGCAGACTTGTTGCTTCAGGAGCACTGAGTTTATTTTAACGGGGGTGGAATAATTTGGAAAAGGATCTCAATAATGGTGCTATAACAGGAAGAGTATAAACAATAGCACTGAATTACACGGGTAGATGTTATTGAATTGGAGAAAGTTTTGTTGTGTATATTTTTGCCACTATTAAAAAAATAGTAACTACATGAATAACAATGAACACGGAAGAAGAAAATGCTCTAAAATTGATTGTGGTGATGATTGTACAACTCTTCCTGATATGACTGAGCTACTGGAATGTATGACATGTGGGATGAAGTATCAGTAAAACTTAAAAAAAAAAACAAACCAGGATGCTTATTATACAAAGTTTCTAAGAAAATTGCAAGCAATGCAATAAAATGTAATTTATGTTTACAAAGACAAACAAACAAAAAACCCCACAACTCTTTGTGTGTTTATAATCACATACAAAATAACTGGAATAACAAACACCAATCAGTTAACAATACCTATTTCTAAGAAGAGGTGAGGGAATAGGTTTAGAGAAAAGGAGATGAAATGGGGAGACTTGCCCTTTATATGCACCCTAATGATTAGATTTTTAAATATATATATATTTTAAATTAACAGATCATTTTATTGGGGGCCCTTACAACTCTTATTACAGTCCATACATCAATTGTATCAGAAATATCTGTACATATGTTGGTTGCCATCATTCTTTTCTAGATAGTTACTTCTGATTGAGCCCTAAGTATCAGCTCCTCTTCACCTCACCCCCCCACCCCGGGACCCCTTGATTATAATTATTATTTTCCTATCTCACACCGACCACTGTCTCCCTTCCCCACGGTTTCTGTTGTTCTTCCCCCTGGGGGGGTGGTGGTTATGTGTTGATCATTGTGATCGGTTCCCCCTTCCTCCCCTCCTCTCCCTACCCTTCTGGTATCGCTGTTCCCACTCCTGTCTAGATTCCGTGTGTCGTGAGCTCTTGTCTCTTATCTGTACCTGTGCACATGCTCCGGTCTAGGCCGAGTGAGAGGCAGCACTGGGGTCATGTTAGCGGGGGGGGGGGGTGGTCAGGGCGGTGAGGAAGCCTCAAGGAACCAGAGGAATATCG